CTCTTAATAGTTAATAGTACTATTAGGATAAAATTGGCTTTGAACCACATAAAATGATTTGTATTATCCTCCACTGCTCCCTGATGTTAATCATCCTTCCATCAGGAGCGAGCTTTATTTTGCTTTGAAGTCTAAAAACTTTAAGCAACGATTTGATTTGATTCGATTCTCTGGCTTGGTGATTTTAAGCTTTATTGTTTAAAAGGTATCTAAAAAGAAGCAATTGTTGTACGTATGCTTTTGGGAGGTTACAAAGGCTGAAACTTCTAGAGTTTCATTTTGAAGGATACCATATACCCATAAATATTGTAAATTGTATGGTTATGTTATGTTTGGCAGCACCAAATTAAATTGTGTGACGGAAATTTAGTTCGAACTTTGTCCTAAAATTCTTCTAATTCCACCCCAATTCGGTGCTGCCAAACATAAGATAATGTATGTAGTAGTGTCATCGACTCATCCACACAAGTTTTTGATGATCAACATATTTGCATGCTCTGCGTGATCAGGAGTACCACCAAGCTAACACTACTAAAGATTAGATATCATCATAACCTGCACCATATATGTTCATAAGTCCATAGACCAAGCCTGGTTAAAGAATGGATCTCTCATACCTTGAACTAATGTAGATTTTACATAAGTCCTTCTTCAGTGCCTTCTCACTTGATGCTAACCGAGCAAATAGCGCTCATCAGGGTGGTTTGCTCAGGTTAACCAAGAAAGCCTTGGCGCTCAAAGGCGAAGCACAAAACAGAGCACAGTGCAAACATGTGAGGAGCAGGTAATTAGTTCAAGACACAAAGAGAATGGTGGAAATTTTCTTAAATCAAATTAATCATTAAGAACTTATATTCATACTAATTTAATGCAAGGAGCAACATAAATAACAAAAACGGGTAACCTTGTGCATACAGATTTGAGATTTCCTGGACTATTTCTCCTAATGGATTTCACATAGCTATACAAGGTACCTTTTATTATGTCCATCTTTTCTTCTATGAGGTTAACCAGGTGCAATGTACACAAAATTATTTAAAACCTTTCATAGCCAACTACTGAGTAAGAACAAAACCCCCCACAATATAATAGAAACTGAACGTGAACAAAACAGGATATCACTATCTGTTAGTAAATCAATGAAATAACCATGAATATGAACACGTATAACAGTCTTACAGACATGAGAAAAATTTCATAATTACCCGCTATTCAACATAGATAAAGATTTTTAATTAATAGGCTGCCAAAGGAAGGAAAAAGCTGCATATAAGTGAAAATAATAATAATAATAAAATAAAATAAAATAAAAAATAGATGCACTATTCATAGAAATATAGAATTCAATACAGAATTTAGGTTAGCAATACCGACAGAATCTGATCACAAAACCTGGAGGAAACTTGAGGAGTAAAATTGACAAAGTACAGATAAAAACCTCGAAAAGAAACATAAACACAAAATATGAAATCTCCCAGAAATAACATCATAAGACTAGTACGCTCGCACTCCAAGCAATATCCCATAAATACATGCAAGTATGAGAGTTTAACTATTTGGAGTCACAGAGTGTCAAGGATATTTCAAAACAAAATTATGGAATATAAAAGTTAAGCCATATAATCTGAAATAACAAACATCAAACATTCTATTATTTTTCTTAGCATTAGAATCCAACATCAGTATCCGTTTACTCTGGACCATATTTGAGATAAACTCCATGAATTTGGAAGAAAGTTTTAACAGTTAATGGGAAGTACCTTTTCATTGTTAGGAAGCTTTTTGCAAATTTTTTGGTTAATGGAAGTTACTAATTTTCTTTTATGCCTCTACTCTACATGAATGCAATTTCTCAACCCTTTATGTTCTGTATCTGGCATTGCTTTATTTCTCGGTCCGCTCACAGTAAGCTTCTCTTAGTGCCACCTTTTGAATCTACATTTCTTGTGCATCTTTCTTCGCCTCCACTCTACCTTTCGCAACTATCATTTATTAACCACAAAGTCAGGCTCGTTACCTGTGTGGTAATCAGGTGTATGCAAAAGTTTTTATTATGCACTTCTCTAGGGTCAAATCATTATGTATATTCCCCAATCAGCTGAATTGATGAAATGGGTACTAATCGTCATTAAACAACTCACTAACTTTGATTACCACAAAATGGTGCAATTTAAGGTCAAATGAACTCAATGAGGAATCGTGCGGTAGTTAATACAACGTAGAGGAACGTAATCATCGTATTCAGAAATTAATCAGCAAGTTTCTATCCTAAACTCTATACACTATAGTATATTAATCAGAAATTAATCAGCAAGTTTCAACAAAGGTATATATATATATATATATATATTTTGTGGCAAGGCTATGACTTCAAAGTTGGATGCACTAAAGAATTCAATCCTAAACTCTTGAAGCAATAGAGTATTCATCATATTCAGAAATTAATCAGCAAGTTTCTATCCTAAACTCTATAGTATATTAAACAGAAAGTAATCAGCAAGTTTCAACAAAGGTATATATATATATATATATATATATATATATATATTTTGTGGCAAGGCTATGACTTCAAAGTTGGATGCACTAAAGAATTCAATCCGAAACTCTTGAAGCAATAGAGTATGCGAAAGGCAAGAAACTATGATTAATAGGTAAAAGAGAAATTTGGAATATAACATATGTTGCTGGAGTGCATTCATCAGTTGTAATATACTGACCACCTATTGCATGCTATACAGTTCCAAAAACAACAAGGCAACTTTAAATAGGTTCATCAAAGACACTTCATCTTTTTAAGATCTGTTTCCATGAGAATAACAGTTGAAAGTGGTAAAAACATTAATAATAAGTCAGACACGAGTAGTAATGGCAATACCATATTAAACCAGAAATTCCCAAAGCAATCGCAAATATTTCATCAAAGATTCAGAAATTTGGTAATATTAATGAATACGGAAATTGATATATTAAAATTAAATCCTCCAATAACAATATTAACTTCCTTACCTGTCTAAGTTGGATGACAACACCATTATCTTTTGAGCCTGTTCCATAGCCTGTAGGATAATATCACCTGTGCAGAAGGGTATACATGGAGATTACATGCATCCCCATTTAAGCATTGACAAGGCAAGGACACTTTTACAAAGTCATCTAATACTCTTTGCAAGCCTGATAGACCCACCAGTAGCAGGCAACAAGATAATGAAAAACTTGGAAGAGAGAGATACACTTTGCAAGTCTGATAGACCCACCAGTAGCAGGCAAAAAGATAATGAAAAACTGGGAAGAGAAAAAAGAATTGTTTTTGAAAAAACTAGAGACAGAAAAATTGAGAGAAAGAGAGAGAGAGAGCAGTACTTATGTTTCTGTTCATTTGTTTCATTGTAGTTGTCTATTTTCTTCTTTTCTCAAACTGTAGTCAACCTGTGTTGAATGTTCTGTCAATATATGAAAAAGGACAAACAATACGGGACTTAAGTGGCAGTGTTAATTGAAGGTATAATAATTAGGATAGACACTTTTGCATGAACGATAGAATTAAATCAAGAAGCCTACCAATAGGCAAGAGGAAAGTGAATAAATTTGGCTCTCATTTACGGAGGCAGGGATATAGCAAAAGAGAAAAAGACATAACTACCAATCCAGCCCAGTGTCGCATCATTTCATGCATGACCAAAATGAGGAATCTATTAGCATACTGTCATGGACAACCAGCTTGGGGAAGACCTAAATAGGTACCCTTGGATTGGGAAAGCCACCTAATTAATTACCCTTCTCCCCACATAGAATGTGTGGTCATCTTCAACATTTAGTAGAAAAGAACAATAACAAAAAACAATAAAAAAAATATATACCCACTTAAGATCAGAAAGCACATCAAACGAAAAATAGAAACATAACAAACAACTTAGAAGGATAACAACTAGGATTGTTCAGTCTTTTCATAATACGGAAGCTACTTTTGTAATCCTACGAATAAAAGAATAAGATGTAATTAACAACTAGGAGTCTAGGAACCAATTGAGCCAACATTTAAGAAAAACTGTCAACAACTAATATAAAAAAGAAATTAAAAAAATATATAAATGTTGAAAACAATCTTAAAATTTTGGAAACAATATAATCCAAGTGAAAAACGTGAAGGGGCAGATATGAAGAAGCTATTCTTGTACTCTTTTCAATCTTATGCAGTCCTGCTTGATATTTGTAAGTGTGGTAACCACTTGCCTGCTCTAGCCTGTTCTTGAAGACACTGATGAGTTGGTTATCAGAGATATTGAAAATAAACACTGTAACACAAACAAGGCCTTCTCTTTTAAGACTGGGGATAAGGAAAGAAGATTTAAAACATAACAGATAAAAGACTTCCTATTATAGGTCTCTATTATATTCCAGGGTGGAACTAATATTTTAGCTTCATCTTCTTGGGAAAAGAAAAAATTATAACCTAAAAATATTATGAGTAAAAACAGCCCGATCATTGATCACTGAGACAGCAACTCAGCCCCATCTAACCATGTTGCCAGGTCTAGTGACAAACTATAAGGAAACTCAGATCCATTATGATAAAGAGGGGCTTTTTTCTCTCTACACAACAAGCGAGAGTCTAGAATCAGTTATCAACATTGAGATACCAACCAGAAAGCACATGGCCTACTAGGCCATTGTTAAAGAAAACAACAATCGATAAATAAAATACAAGGATTTAGTAATTAAGTCGGTAATTTAAAGACAAAACTTGAATTAAAAATAAGAAGCAACCGCGTGACTCCTTAGTGGACGCTTTGGGTAAAGTATGGAGTGAATAATGGAATAGAGACAATTAAAGGTTCAGTTCAACCAGGTCCTGTCATGATTAACTATCAAACCGTATTGAACTTCAAATTCAGTAAAGGGAGACCTACACAGCACACCTTTTCACTGCATCTGCTCCATATATGCAAAGGATGTAATTGTTACAGGTAAAGTTGTACCCAACCACAACAGGATCAAACAAGTTAAAAGATAAATAAAAATTACTGCCATAAATTATATCCATTACTACAAAAGTACATGCAATAACTACTACAACAACAAAAGGAGGCTTACTTTATTAGGTAGCCTTAACCTTATTGTCCCCAACAACAGAAAGTATCGGCAGCGTATTCAGGAATTCATCGAGGCCCTCAAAGAATTCGATGCCATCCTCTTCCCCATTCCCTGCAGCATTTCCTTCACTCATTCCCAGCACAGGCTCTTCAACCTCATTACTAAATTCAACGTTCAAATCCAGCTTCCCCGATTCTTTTGCAACCTTCACCGTTTGCTTCTTTGATGGCACTGCTTTCTTGCTTGCACCAGCGTATGACACATTTGACACCCCTAAACCATCTTGTACTACAGCCCCGGGCATTGAGTTTTCACCACTACCCCCTCTAACATTCTTTCCTTTTTCCACTTGAGGTGTCTTCATATTTTTAGCTGGCAAATCCTTTCCCTTCACATTTTTGGCTTTCTTCTTCTTTCTAGTACTACCCCATTCATCATCAGAATCATCACTTTCTGATATCTCCACAAAAGCATCCTGGTCCTCTTCAATATAAATCCTAGGTGCCAAGCTCTTCCGACTATTCACCTTCTTTGATCTTGGAGCAGTAACATTCACATTTTCCTCCACAACATCAACATTTCCGTCAACCACATTCTGCCTTGGGACGACTTGAGGACAAGTAAACATGGGTGAAAATGGTGTCCAATTCCGAACCCCACCCTTATTTTTCTCCAAATTCGACATCGAAACCCCCAAGGGGAAAAGACTCCAACAACAAAAATACGCCTCTTTCCCCTCAGAAATCGGTGGCGGCGACGGAATCACTAACGCATGAAATGCTCTACTGCAATTCTGACACCGAAGTGTGCAATCTTCGAAAACCCTAGGATACTCATACATGTAATAACAATATGGGCATGCAGTCCAAAAACTCGAAGTTTGATTATCAGTATTATGAATGCCAGGCTCCTCTGTCACAACTTTTTCCTTATCATTTATATTAGTACTCCTAGGGCTTCGCCTACCGGTGTGTTGTTGCTGATTTACTTGATCCTTATCATTGATATTCACACTCCTAGAGCTTCGCCTAACGGCTTGTTGTTGCTGATTTACTTCATCCTTATCATTGATACGAGTACTCCTAGGGCTTTTCCAAACGGGCTGTTGCTGATTTACTTGATCCTTATCATTCATATTAGTACTCCTAGGGCTTTTCCAAATGGTTTGTTGTTGTTGATTTACTTGATCCTTATCATTCATATTAGTACGCCTAGGGCTTTTCCAAACGGGCTGTTGTTGCTGATTTACTTTATTATAATCTTCTTCTTGTTGTTTTGGGTGTTCTGGTGCTCGGCTCAACCCGATCTCCACAATCGGATCGAGCTTCGGGCACAAATTGTGTTCATTGTCATAAAGAGATTTTCTGGAGGGGTTGGAGAGGACTGACCAGGCGTCGGAGACGAGCTTGAAGGCTTCGTCGGCGAAGGCTAGCTTGTTCCGGTTAGGGTTCAAGAGAAGTGCGAGTCGGCGGTACTGTGTGGCGATGAGCTGCAAGTCGTGAGTCGGACGGACAAGTTGGAGGATCGAGTACCAGTCGTGCTGATTGTTGAACCGACTCTCGGCGGCGATGAGTGTGTCGGCGACGGCGAGGATCCGGTCGGCGTATTCGAGGCCCGGGTCGGACTCGCGGGCTCGGATCGCGAATGTCTTGCTGCCGATGAGGTCGCGGGAGGTGAGGAGCTTGTCGGCGATGAGGAGCCACCGCTCGGCCTCCGCTCTGCTGCCGCTGCTACTGTTGGGGTGCTCCATTCTCTTCTCTCTCTCTACTTTCTCTCTCTAATAAGTGTTTTTTCTGATTTCTTTTATTTTGTCCCTTTTTGTGAAGAAAGTGATGGGAGGAAGGTAGTGAGTGTACGGCGCGTTTGTTTGGGTGGATTAAAAAGCAGATGGCGGATTTTGTAGAAATGGTGAGATTTTAAGGTCATTAAGGTTCACTGTGATTGTTGATTGCATGTGACTAGGATGTCGGCATCGAAGTCTGACGAGGTAGAGCAATATAATGACACAAATTACAAGTATACCGCTTATTCATTTATTATTTACAGTACTATTTTTCTAATTTCCGTGAGATGGGATTTCCTTCCTCGTATCCAACCATCAACTGAAAGTGAAAAAAGCATACCTAGTGATATCAAGAAAGTGTGCACGTGTGAGTAACAGTGGCAGCTTACTTTATAAACTTTTCCTCACATATTTTTACAAATTGTCTGTTACATATTTGACAGTGAATTATAAAGGATTTTAAAAGATTTGAGAGTATTATATATATAAATTATATAGATATATTTTCATTGGATCCTTTGGTTCTACCATTAATAGTACTAGTTTTTCAAATGATGGGGCCATATGGGAAGTATGTGTCAGTGTCACCTCTCATGTGATGGTGTTTTGATAAAAAGGAGAGCGTAATGGACATGAGATCTAATTTTGCTTAATTTATTTGGTTTATAGAATAGGGAGTATGATATAAAAGTTTGGCTATTGTGTATCCTACTCATTTTACACCCGTTTACTGTTTTTAATTGGATTGGAAGACAACAGCTGTCCTATTTAAATTCTAAATCAAATGATTTCTTAAATTTTTACTCATATTTTTAAACATATAAACCAAATAAATACTTTTTCAAAATTTATAAAATTGTATTAAATTAACCAAATAAATATTAATGTTCTTCCAAAGGGTAATTTTGTATATAACATAAGGTATAAAAATAAAATAATAATTTCTCATTTTATAAAGGGTGGGTGCGAGTAGTACAATTTTCACTTTAAAACTTGTCCCAGTCCAAACCCATTAACTGAACCAATAATGGAAAAAATTACTTCAACTAAGGCCAGCAATTAATCAAACCTCTTGTCAATCTAGAAATTGGAATCGGACTCAACTTTGGATAGCAGACCAACGAGGAACAGACAGCTTGCCTTATTTGGTTGTAATTTAGCTCCACTTATGCCATTGTTTTGTGGACGACTCGTGTGCCAAGGCTAGTCTTGTGCTTTAGTCCTTTTGAACCACTTCGGTTCTCATAAATATATATATAATTTTTAATTAGAATAATTACACTTACCTCCCATAAAATTAAGGATAATTACAGGCAATACCTTCTGCGCACCGTCGTCCCTCAAAGTTTGCTTCGTCCTATCACATTTGCCCTCAACAAATTATAGAGACATTTTCATTTTTATTTTTTACTTAAAATTATTTATATACCCCAATTTTATATGCCCTCCACCACCACCACCCACCTCAACTAGCCCTAGATTCAGACACACTCAACCACAAACCTTAGAAACAGATCGAGACCCAATTCTGTTGCCGACAGGCTTGCCATCGCATGAATCTCTCTATACATTCAGAGTATTGATACTCTTTAACGTTCAACTCGTAGTTTGAATTCAACTCCGGAGTGGCCATGTGAGTTCGGGAACTCAAACTATTGAAACCCATCAAAACAGGGGAATTTGAGCTCTGATTTGCAAGAAAAGTAGCGTCACAGCCTAAATCGAAGCCATTGTCAAAAGGATTGTTGCAAACAACATTAAAGAGTGAAGAGCAACAAGATTTGGGTGGCAAAAACGACTGTATCTGTGATGGGTCGAGGGAAAATGCCGCCTGTGACGGAGAACAGGAGGAGGACGAGTCCATTGGTTGTAACAACAGATTGTGGTCAGTTGGGTTTGAACAGAAGGTCATGTTCATGTCCTTGAATTCATGGTGGTTTAGGATGGTGTGGATGTCTTGGTGAGATGGGTTGAGAGCATTGTTTATATACCAGTCACTTTCGAGCATGGATTTGAAGGTAGAGAGAGAAGCGTTCATGTCGTCGTCCTTTGTATCTCCATTGTTGTTTCTTGTCCACGAAACTGCGTCGTCGTCTTCTCCTCCCATCCAACCGACGTCGTTAGCCTTTGGTAGCATTTTAGGCTCTCTCTCTCCTCTGCTTTACTTTTCTGGGTTGTTGCTTCTTTAGAGAGAAAGAGAGAGAAGGCCCAGAGGTAAAGAAAAAAGGGCAGTAGCTTTTCAGGGTACAAATTTGATGAGAAATTGAAGAGAGAGAGATATAGAGAGATTCGAAGTTTGAACATTAAAGAGTATCAATACCGTGGAGTAAATTCAGAGTACAAATTTTGCAGGGCCGGCGGCGATGATGGTGGCACTACTGATTTTGCCAGGCAGGCGGCGAGGGTCTATTAAGGCCGGCAACGACATGGTCTACAGCGACGGCGGTGACGATGTGGTGTTGATTGTCGTGGTGGAGGAAGAGGAGTGCTGTAGAGGTACTTGATCGCAAGCATTAACAGGGGAGCCGAAGATGGTACAGTGGTGATGAATAGAAGCAAATGAGCTGTTTGAGAGGGTAAGCTTTGGTTGTCACCAGAATGACACGAACTAAGTCTATTTGGGTGCTTGGGATTGAATCGTACAGATATATACACACACACACATATATATTAGGCGTTTGCTTTAGAAAACCAAAAATTAGTTGCCGCGGTGGAGAGAGAAAGAAAGAAAGGATGGACGGCGGTGTAGGGATTTATTGGCGAATCCCAGTTTTAATCAGCAAGCCCCAAGCAACAATGAAAAGGTTATAGAACCGAGAGCTTTATTTGCAAATTTAGGGCTCAAACCAGGAAAGAGAGCTATTAGGGTATACGTGTCATTTGATAACTTGTCATAATTATTAATATATAATGAGGGTATATTAGTACATTCACATAGATTTCTAAGACTACCGGCCGGAGATCGCATTTAAGAGAGTCACTGTAATATATGAAACGTTAGGAGTATTATGTGTAATTAGACTTAATCTTTGGGGAGGTAAGTAAAATTATTTCTTTTTAATTTTATCTTTCTAAAAAAAAAATATGGGTCCAACTACGTATTGAATGTACCCAACTTTCGTGCACCGAATGCATCCGAATATACAATGTCAATGGGTATTATGTTGATTTATTTATTTGCCCTTTCGTCGCACGTGATGAACACGTGTGCTCCCGCGTATGAGTTTTATGTATGGACTGGAGAAGTGGCTTTAGTTGGGAATCATTGTTAAGAGTTTGAGATTGAACCCTAAAATTAGAAAAAAGCAGTAGCGAGATATGGGAGTGGAGAAGGAAATTCTGAGAACTGGAACGGGTCGCAAACCGGTCGCCGGCCAGAACGTCACCGTCCACTGCACCGGTTTCGGTTAGCCTACTATTATCCGTTTCTCATTTTCTCTCTGAAACCTGCTATATAAATATATATGTGTATAGACATCTGTATGATTCAGACTGTGTATTAGCTAAATGTTCTTTCTTTCTTGCAGGAAAGGGTGGTGATCTATCTAAAAAGTTCTGGAGGTAAGGATTATAATTTTTAATTTTAGGTGAAATTTTGTTTTGAGTTTGCTTTGTACTTTCTCATCATCAATTGGGTGATTTAGAAAGAAAAAGAAATATATAAATTGGGTTATTTCCTATCTGAATCTCATTCTTATATTAGCACAAAGGATCCCGGGCAGAAGCCTTTCACCTTTCAGATCGGCCAAGGTTCTGTTATTAAAGGTATTTAATTAGATATATTTCTGAATTATGTATTCATATCTGTTGAATTGATATCCTGAGTACATATTCGTGTGCAACTTTGTGTATGCGTCACTTTTGTGTAATTTTATTGCTAATTGCATTTTGCATTTTAAAGATATGTATCACTGGGTTCCAAATATTGGTTGTGGTGTGTGTGTGTGTGTGTGTGTGTGTGTGTGTGTATAGATGTTGTTGATGGTTTTGAATTCTGGGATATTACTAGGGCTATTACTTGATATTGTAGTGTATACGGGAATTCAACTCTTATATGCAGGACATGCTTGTTTCTAATCAATTTTTGTATTTTTATGAACTATAATTTGTCTACACACTATAGTTGAGACGTGTTGAATATATGTTGCTTGGAAGTGGATCACAGTTATCACACTGTATTGTGTATTCGTATATATATATTTTTTCTAGCATTGGCATAGCATATGAAATGTGAGTTGTAAGATAAAACTTTCAAATTAGAACAGAAATAGTACAAAAACATGTCTAAGTAGGATATATAATGAATGAATGTAGTATCTTGTGTTGCTTATCAAAAAAAATAAAATAATGAATGAATGTAGTATGGAGTAATAAACAACTTTTTAATAAATGTCATCTATAAGTAGGAAATATAATGTATGAATGTAGCATGGAGTAATACACAACTTTTTAGTAAATGTGACAAGTTGTCTGAAGGGCAAGGCGTCTTTCATGTTTATGACCAATTTTTTTCATTTCATTTTTGTACTTCAACAAAAGTTCTATTACTATTCAATTTGTTTTTTTTTTTTTTCTCTCTTTCTTTTCTATATATGTACGTGTGTGTATATCCTATAGGTGAATCTAGTCTCGTGATAAGAAGATACTTTTAAGCCCTTGCTACTATCACCAAACAACTTCGTCATTTTTTTTTTTTTTTTATAAGTACCAAACAGCTTCATCATCCCAACATATGAAGTGCATTTATTCAAATTAAAAGCTAAAATATGCCTATAGAAAAATTCACCCTTTTTAAACATTTCCAGATATTGTTTCTTTTTCAATATATGTATCAAAATTTTTCTTTTTCAATATATGTATCAAAAATTTTCTTTTTCCTGCATCAGCAGTTGATCTGCTTCATAGCAGTTCACCTGATGACCTATCTAATGCTTCAGAGCAGTTCTGATATGCCCTTTTCTTGCGCTAAGTAACCATTTTTTAGTTGCAAGAGAAAAAGTCAAAAGTTGCAACCGTAAAAAAATAAAAATATTCCCTGAATGTGGTTTTTTTTTTTTTCTTTTTCTTCTTTTTCTATAACCGGGGTGTCCGGGGCTTTTGCCCATACTAATCCAGATTGAATGTAGTTTATTTTATTATACATATAGAGCAAAATGGTACATCAGAAAGCTAGCCAAAAGCCAAAAAAACAAACAGCAACTACAAAAATGGAAGGGCATACCCTATCCAAAAGAAACTGAGGAAAACTAAAATCAAATAAAAAGAGTTGGAAGGCTAGCCAACAATTTTTAAAAAGCCAGAACCAAGAGAGAGAATCAGGAAATATAAAAACTATCCTGTAAACACAGTCCGAAAGTTTGAATTTCCTCCAAGAAAGCTTTCTAGCTAAAGAACAAGTCCAAAAGAGGTGATCCAATGAGTCTTCACCTCTTCAACCATTGACAAATTGTTATTAGTTGCAATCCTTTCAACCTTAAGTTTGAAAGAGACAAAATTGCATTATGCAGAATAAGTGTTACAGTGCAAGACACCCTTGGCCAGCATTTATTCCAAACCAAAGGATACCGAGCAACTCTCTCATGTCTACATCTGCATTGATTCCGGACAGATTTGAAACAAAACATGCCATGCTTCCAGTTGATATTTTCTTCCTCCATATGATTCTGAAACCTGTGAAGATAATCAGTGACTTCTGCAGGCCAAAAGCTTGTAATGTTTCACTACCCTGTAACGGCTGTAATCAGCAAATCTGCAAGCACAACTTTTAACTGAAAAAATAATCCTCTCAACCTTCTTAGGCAAGAGCTCTAAGAAAAGACACCCCCATTCTGAATCTGAAGGGTTATGTTATCCCGCTACTTACAAACCAACAAACCATGGATCTGGAACTAAGGACCTGATGCGAGTGTTGAAAGAACCATTGCTCTTTATACATTTAACCGAAAGCCCTTAATATACCGGATACCCAAGAAGATCCTGAGGAGGAGTATTTTTTAGGTCAAAGGCTCCCAAAAAATACACTGAAACTTCAGCCATTCTGAATTGAAAGGTTATATTATCCAGCAACTTCTGTCTAACAGACAGAATACTGCTCCATACTGCCGAGTCACCTGGCTTTGGATTACAGTTCTCAAAATTTGACTTTTTTGTGTACATATCTCTAAACCAGGCAATCCACAAGGCTTCCTTAGACTGAATGAAATCCCAAGCAAGACAAACTTTAGCAGCAATATCAATACTGGCTGTAGGTCTCACCCCAAAACCACCCTCTGATTTTGGCAAAGTAACTGAACTCCATTTAAGAGGATGAATAGCTTTACCATTAGAATTGCCACCCCAAATAAAATTTCTAATCTTCCCATCTAGATTACTTTGAAGAGCAATGGGAATAATAAAAATAGCAGCCCAGTAATAGAATATTCCAGAAACCACCATTTTTACTAATTCAATCCTACCTGCAAGGGATAAATTGAAAGCATTCCATGCAGAGGTTTTAGAGGATACCTTATCAACCAGAACCAGAGAACAGGACCAAAAAAAAAAAAAAACCATAGGTACAATCACTCATAGATTTTTATCAATCATAGGAAGACCAAGATAATTTATAGGAAAATTGCCCACTTTGAAATTCAAAATTTTATGGCTGTCTTTCCTCCTCTTCACAGACTTGGAGAAAAATTAAAAGCTTTTATATTGATCAACTCTGAGACCAGACTATCTCCAAACTCAGAAAGTAGATCATGCAAAGCTTTAGCATTTGAAATACTTGCTTTCAAAATGACAGAGATCATCTGCAAAGTCCCACTTTTGTGACAGAAAAACATAATTCCAGCCTTCCTTCAGCTACTCTCTCCATCAATTGTGAAAAGAAGTCAGTATCAAGGCAGAAGAGAAAGGGAGACAAAGGGCAACCCTTCCTCAACCCTCTACCAGAAGAAATAAAACCCTAAAGGCACTCCATTTACCAAGACAGAGTACGCTACTGAAGAGACACATTGCATTACCCATTTGGACTATTCTCCCCAAAGCCATACCATTGCAGAATATAAGATAAAAAGTTCAATGAAACAGAATCATAAGCTTTAGCAAGATAGTTTTTAAAGCCATTGAAGGATGAAAATCTTTACTGGAAAAACGTTTAAGAAGATCATTAGCTAAAATAATGTTACCTTGGAGCTTTCTACCCTTCATAAAAGCAGCCTGCTCCCAACCAACAAGCTTAGACAATATCTTGCTCAATCTGTTTGCAATGATTTTTGTATGTATATGGAGTTCCATAGAGAGATAGGCCTGAGGTTTGTAACCTTAAGACTATCATCCTCTTTTGGAATCAATGCAATGAGAGTACTATTCAAACCTTGAGGCATAAAAGAAGAGGTAAAGAAGAACTTAACTGCCTCCACAACATTTACCTCGATGATATGCCAGTTGGATTGGAAAAATCTATAAGGAAAACCATCAGGTCCCGGAGACTTGTCTGGCTTAGGGTTCATAACCACTTGTTTGACTTCATCTTCAGTCATGGGAGTTTCCAGAAAACCTCTATCTTCCTCACTAACCATACTCCTAGACCCATCCATAAGAGGAGCAGGAGTTGCCTTTGCAGAATATGAATCTGTATAGAAGTCCACCACCCACTCTCTCGCATAGAAATCTGTACAGTCCCCATCTTCATTCTGTAACATAGAAATTGAATTATGAGCTCTTCTCTGTTTCACTTTCTGGTTGAAATACCTGGTGCATCTGGCATTCTCTTGGAACCACTGAATTCTGGATTTCTGTCCCCAAAGCACCTCTTCATACCTCAAAGCTACTTCTAATTCTTCCCAAGCCTTGCTTTCCAACATAATAAGCTTATCACTAAAAGGTTCCAGCTGCAGCTTTTGTTGAATTTCAAATATTTTTTTCCTGCATTTCTCCACATTATCAGAAACATTACCTTTTTTCTTGTTCCATATTTTCATTTCTTCCTTTAATAATCTCAATTTCTTCATGACTTGATGAATAGGGTTGCCCTGAACTGAGGAATCCCAAACTCTAGCCACAACCGTAGATTTATATCAAAAGTGATGAATAGGGTTTTCCTGAACTGAGGAATCCCAAACTCTAGCCACAGCCGTAGATTTATATATATAAAAAAAAAGGTTCTATAAGCTCTAAAAATGGTACAAAGAGTCCTTTCTGATTAGGAATATGTGGTAAAGGTTTGAATAATAGTCTTGGAGATTTCCAGAAAAGGTGGTGGGGACAAAGAACTATATACTTGAACCTTAAAGTCCTCAAAGAAAAGTGGAGAGAAAATGAGCATGAGATAATGAACATGCAATTCTTTTGGTTCTCTAGCTTGATAGATTTCTGAATTGCATGAATTATTTCCAAATCACTAAATGTGAATCTCTTTCAATCATCATAGATTCATATAGATTCCTTACAATATTGAATTTGGCCAAGCAATTCATATAGATGTAGCAATTTGTATCTTAAAGGTCCAATTTGAATCTAAGGTAAGATTTAAAAACTATGTTTAGGATCAAACTATAGATTAGGGAATCAACTGTTTGCTTTTATGCCTGATGTATTTTGTTTTATGTGTAAACAGTGGTAATTTGTGATGAAGTTTTAGAGATCGATAAGAGGACAAGGACTTTAAATGTAATGATCAGTGTATTAAAATGTATTTTAATGACTGCAAAGGCGGAGTGGATTTAGGTACCTGACTTGTTATAATCAAAATAAAATTATAAGGGACAAGAAGGATAATAACAACTACAAAGAGGGTGGAACTGAACATTTGTCCTCAACATTTGAATGCATTGAAGTCTAGCAATGACAGAATTTAGCTCCTTTGCAATTTGTCCTCAACATTTGAATGCATGAATGAGTGGAGTGAATAGAAGATATAGGGCCACTAATGAAAGCGTTGGAGGAAAATTAGGTGTAGCACCCATTGGGGAGAAAATTCGAGAGAGTAGACGTAGATGGTTTGGACATATACATTGGAGACTTAGTGACATGCCGGTCAAACAAGGGAGACTAGTTGTAGTAGAAAGTAAAAGATGGAGAGGGTGGCCAAAAATAACATGGGAGTGAGGTTATCAAAAATGATTTTAAAAAGTTAAATATAGTAGGTGAATTGGCATGTAATAGAAAACCTCGGAGAGAGAATTTTCACATGGCCGACCCCATTCATATGGGATTAAGGCAACAATGATGATGGTGAGTGTTCTGCTCATCTGACAAGCAGCAACTGTTGTTGTTACCTGACAAAAATCAGCAACTTTTTTTGTAGTATATGGGTGCTTGGATTTCTCAAAATCAGTTTTAATTAGGATAGGATGAAGAATGCTGAGTGTCACAATTAGTCATAAGCACTCACTTTTGCACAAGTTTCAATTTCAAATTTTTTTTTTTCTATTGTTGTCTATCGGGAATAGTTATTCGACAACAAATTCAGCATGAGTACAAATACGAAGATAAGATAAAATTATCTTTTGGCCACAGTATGGTTCGTCGGGGTTAGGATCAAAGCATGTTAGTTACATGGTGGCACTTAATCTATCAACAACTTAAAAACATTGCCATGCTGAAGCTGACACAAATACACACACACACACAGAGGAAGAGGAAGAAGAAGAGTTTGTCTATCCGAAGTGAATGCATAATTGCAGGTTTGGGAAAATCCTAGAAGCATACCGAGAATAAAACTTACTTGGGAAAAATGAAAATAAAAGTTTTAGTCCTTTAGAAAAAGCAATGTGGGAGGCTATCCTATCCAAACTGCCACAGCACAGTAATAAGTGACAGAGGCCAGGCCTTCATCAAATTAGTATTAAGCTGACAAGCTGCAGTAGATGGAAATTATGATATTGGTAACATTAAAAAATTTCCTTTTACAAATGACAGCTCTACAAGTTAGTATTATGTTGATAGGCTGCAATAGATTGATGTTACGAAATTAGTAAAAAAATATTCCTCTACAAATTACAGCTCTACTTGATGCTACATTTTTCAAGCCAAGGTTGCACCCTATTTATGCAGTTTTTGAAGTCAGCAACACAGATGATGGCTACAAATATCATGTCCCTTTTGGTTGCAATCCTCCCAGAGTCACTTATAGATTGGAGCATTTAGTATATGAAATAGATAAAAGGAAAGTAAAGGAGGGAAAACGAGATAAGGGAGGAGACATTTAAATTGGTATATTTTCTTAGAACTTCATCATAACGATTGTAATTGGCCCTGAAAAGGCCCCCGACTTTTTAGTCCAAAATCTGTCACTACTGTGAATCATTCTGCACTGAGGTGATTTAACATTGTTGAGAGTTATAATGGCCTAAAATTTACTGAGATTGATGTTTACCTTTCTGGTGCTGTACTTCAATTTCGTTTTATAAACCTTTAATGCCAGTCCAGTGATTTAGAGCAATCTATCTAAGAACTCTAATTAATGGATGTTCTGGACCTCTGGTTATGCTTTTGTTTGCCAAGTCTACTATTGCCACAGTATCTTTGGAAATATCAGGCTTGTTTTTATGATACAAATAGGGGAACTCAGCAGACTTTTTTTTTTTTTTTTTTTGTGGAAAAAAGACATTGTGACATGTTTTTGGAAAGACCACAAAACTGCTGATTGATTTCAAGATTCATTCTCAGTATCCGATCATGCACTTCCTCTTGTCTTATTAGTGATTCCTAAATTAACTTTATAATTTGAATTCCACCGAGGCATCAAATTTCCGGATGTGAGAATAACTAGTGTTGGTTGAAACATGCCAACTGATTGGGTTTGGTCCACTATATTTTCTGACACGTGCATTATATTGGTGAATCCACTATTGCAGTGTCTATATTCTAGATGCAACTTGCATCCTGAATCTATTTCTATATTAGGAAAACCTGGGCTTGGAGATATTGATCTTTCAGGACAGCAACTTTGTTTTTTCATGTTAAATGAATTTTCTTTTTTCTTCTAAATTTTGGTGAATCAGTTACATGTACATATAATGTCTTGCACACACATATGTCGATGACAGAGTTCTATGGTTTTTACTACTACTTATTGGCTTGAAGAATTAATCCATCCTACTGTGCAGGATGGGATGAAGGCGTACTGGGAATGCAAGTGGGAGAGGTTGCTCGTTTACGGGTAATACTTGAAACTTCTTGGTTTGATTCTTGTGCCACAAAATTATCATTTCTCTTGCTGCATAAATAAAAACTGGAATATGCAAAAAGCTTTAGTGGGAAAAAAGTTATGCTGAAGACATTAAAACCATCATCTAGTGAACTTTTATAGATCAAGTTAAAAAAGGTCAATTGGCAAAATCTGATTGTGTTGTACATTTCATAATTTTTGTATCTTTTGATTCATGTTCATTCTTGTGTTTAATAGAGGTATCAAACTTTTACCAGGTTGGGATTCTTTTAGTATCTTAAATATTTGAAGTTCTAAAAATTGCCCTTTTGTTGAGAACAAGTAAACAAGGCTGCTTCTTATTCTTGTGGACAAGAGTGGTCTACCTCAGATCTTGTTTGAAGTAACTATGTGTTTGTGGTGTTTAATCAATTTTGCAGTGCTCTCCTGATTATGCTTACGGCGCTAGCGGGTTTCCAGCATGGGGTATTCAGCCAAACTCGGTTTTGGATTTTGAGATTGAAGTCTTGAGCGCGCAGTAACAGTCCTATTAGCTATGGTTGTTGTCATCTGAGCAACTATATGCAACTATATGCATGGTGTTTAGTAAACATGTCATGGATTGTGTGGCACTGAATTTGTTGTCATTGAAATGGATTTCCAATCATATTAATTTGGTTATGTTGGTTTTAGGTTTTACTATTATCGTTGTGTCAATCTTGATGTTTGGAGTAATTGAAACGGGAAAGAAAACAAAATATGACGAAATTAAATTGAAGATATTATTCGTTGACATAGATTTACATGCATCTATTCTCCAGAATTTCAATCATTTGTCTGGGAATAAACATACAATTCTAAAACAAGAAACCGTACAAGTTGGATGAATCTATTTACAATGTCCAACAAAAACTTCAGAAATATGTGTTACAACATGAAACAATACGAGCAACGATCACAGTTATGTCATCCATCTTGCCATTACAGCGTTTTTTGCCGGCCCTCTCAGCAGCTTCCATGAATGGAGTTTGAACTTCTTCATCCAGGGCATTGAATAAAGCATTTTCACCTAATAACATGGCCATATCTTCAGTATCTTCGCAATTTTCAATTGCCACGTTTACAATTTCCTCAATTTCATGACCAAACAAGTTGTCAAACAGTCCATCTGTAGCAGCAACAATCACATCTCCTGGTTCTACTGCAACCTTGAATACCTGAATTTATTTGAGAAACAATCAGAACATGTTCCTAAAATTAACTTAGAATGCAAATTTGCCACATCTTAATTTCAATTTGGGAAACTTGGTGAACAACGAATTAATTAGCTTGTCCCATTAAGTATGTGCAGTTCTTCATCTGGGTAAATTCAAATAGGGTCAAAAAGGGAACATACCATAGCATACTTAGGACGATCTCGTTCCTTGCCGGTATTTCCCAATTGATAGGGACAATTGAAATTGTGTTGTTGAACCGGAGATCGATATACAATCTTTCCATCTCTGATCACCACAAATCCACTGTCTCCAATGTTCACCGCATGTAAGCACTGTAACATTAACATACCAAAAACCATCATCATATATACACAGTACATAAATGGGCGCACGGCATTTTCAAGAATGTTAACTCTAGAAACAAACCGAACCCAATTTCAATAATTCACGAGGAGTCAATAAATTAGTAGAGAATAGATATACGTACGTCGCCGACGAGTGTGATTATGCAGGCGGTGGACGATCCTGCATCGTGGGTGTTATAGAAAGCTTCCGTCAAAATCCTTTTGGGCTCGATGACTCCATTGGTGTGCTTCTGGACGGCGAGATGAGAGTTGATCATGAGTTCGCGAGCATACTTTCCGGCGTCCACACCCTTTCTTCCCCAACCGCCCACTCCGTCCGCAACACCGATGGTGCATTTTTCGTCGCAAATGAAGTAAGAATCCTCTCCGAATGGACTATGTTTCTTGCTATCGTCCGGTAGGTAGTACGCACCGGTGACCATATTCAAGATTCTTGACATGGCGGCGGAGACACGAGATAGAGAGGAACAGAGGAGCGGGGATGACTGGAGCCGCGAAGGCTTAGTTCGCTACGAACTAGTATTGATTGACTGAGAGAAGAAAGGGACGCGTTTAGGACAGCGAGATAAAGAACTTGGTTCGACCGCTGCGAGCAAGCTCTGTATTACCAATTTATAGGGCAAGAGGCTTGCGCCCAAAGAAATTTATATTCAAGCATTGCCTATACATCGCTCAAAAATCTGTATGTATTAATTTCTTGGGAGCAATATGTAGCGCACAGCGCCCAAAGAAATATAAAGAGTAAGAGAGGGAGAGTATCTAGTTTAATGTCATCGGTACCAAAAAAAAAATAAAATAAAAAAATGTGTGTTAAAATCTAATATTTTATTATTTAAATTATTAATAATATTCTATCAAACATTAAATACTAGAAAAATATAAGTTTCAATCTAACCAAATTACTAGATAATCTCTAATTTACAAAATAATAAATGATAAGATACACGTTTAGATATTATTTTAGAACTTAAATAGAAATTTATTTATGACACATATAATTAAACGGATATAAACGGGATACACAGGTTGAAAATCTCAACCCAAACACGACACAATTAACTAAACGGATTAATCATGTTGACCCGTTTACGACCTAAACTCGTTTAAGGTCAATCCAAACCCTTTTAACTCGTGTTGTGTTGGCGGGTTGTGTTAAACTTTGCCACCCCTACAGAAGTAGTAGATAAAGACCTTCTGTTTTGGTTATTAGAATTTTTATGAAAGGTGTAATTCAATATATATTATATTAGGTTTGTATAAAATAATAAACATAAAAAAGTATATATACATACATACATACATATATATATATATATATATATATATATATTAAAAATTTATAATGAGACTTACATGTAAAAATAATAGGTTATTAATTTGGAAGGGAAAAAAAAAATTGAAAAGAAGAATTAGGGAGCCTTTACCTATTTAATATAAGTTACGGTAAATAGCTTCTGATCAAAGCTCAAATCATTGTTTCTATGATTTACAAATATTGAGAGAATGGATCAATTGATCAAACAACAAAGTAAGATCAATGAATGTATAGTAATGGGGTTATGTGATATAGCGAGATTTAATTCAAATTCAAGACGTGGCCAAATGTTTTTTTTTTATTTTTTTTAAGACAAGAATGTTAGATTAAAAATTAGGGGTGCCTAGGTTCTATTTCGAGCTCCCAAACACTATGCGAAACAAATCAACCACTGAATTACGAAGACGGTGACGGCCAAAAGGTTAAGGAATTAAAAAATTTGACATATATATATAGTTAAATTGAAGATATTATTCATTGACATGAATCATCATACTTTCAATTTGAAGGGAGATTAATTTAATTACCGAAAGTTTGTCTGTGAATATGAAATCAAAGTGAGTTTATTTTTTATATACCATTCTAAAACAAATAACTGAATAATTTTGTTCAATATATGAATTTAATTATATGCAATTAACATGCAGAAGTTCTTTCTTTTCTTTTCTTTTTTTTTTTTTTTTTTTCTTTTTCACAGCAAGAATGTTAAATTAAAAGTTATAGTTGTCAAAGTTCAAAGTCGAGCTCCGAAACACAATGTGAAACAATTCAATCACTGAATTACGAAGGCAGAATTAAAAATCAGGAAGAAAACAAAATTTGACATATATAGTTAAATTGAAGATATTATTCATTGACATGAATCATCCTACTTTAAATTTGAAGGGAGATTAATTTAATTACATGCATCTATTTCTCCAGAACTGCAATAGTTTGTTTGTGAATATGAAATCAAAGTGAGTTTATTTTCTACGTACCATTCTAAAACAAATACCATACAATATGAATTTAATTATATGCAATTAACATGCAGAGTTAACACTCAGCATCTATTTGTAAAATTAACTTGAATGCAAATTCACCTTTCTTATACCCTTGGCCATCTTTCTGTTAATTATATATGTTTATAAAAAATTTGATTAGTATAGCCTAATCATGCATATGGATATTACAATTAATTAAGCAAATAACAGTTCCAAGTACATCCCTATTTCAAATTGTTTAGTAAACATGTCATGGATTGTGTGGCACTGAATTTGTTGTCATTGAAATGGATTTCCAATCATATTAATTTGGTTATGTTGGTTTTAGGTTTTACTATTATCGTTGTGTCAATCTTGATGTTTGGAGTAATTGAAACGGGAAAGAAAACAAAATATGACGAAATTAAATTGAAGATATTATTCGTTGACATAGATTTACATGCATCTATTCTCCAGAATTTCAATCCTTTGTCTGGGAATAAACATACAATTCTAAAACAAGAAACCGTACAAGTGGGATGAATCTATTTACAATGTCCAACAAAAACTTCAGAAATATGTGTTGTAACATGAAACAATACGAGCAACGATCACAGTTATGTCATCCATCTTGCCATTACAGCGTTTTTTTCCGGCCCTTTCAGCAGCTTCCATGAATGGAGTTTGAACTTCATCATCCAGGGCATTGAATAAAGCATTTTCGCCTAATAACATGGCCATATCTTCAGTATCTTCGCAATTTTCAATTGCCACGTTTACAATTTCCTCAATTTCATGACCAAACAAGTTGTCAAACAGTCCATCTGTAGCAGCAACAATCACATCTCCTGGTTCTACTGCAACCTTGAATACCTGAATTTATTTGAGAAACAATCAGAACATGTTCCTAAAATTAACTTAGAATGCAAATTTGCCACATCTTAATTTCAATTTGGGAAACTTGGTGAACAATGAATTAATTAGCTTGTCCCATTAAGTATGTGCAGTTCTTCATCTGGGTAAATTCAAATAGGGTCAAAAAGGGTACATACCATAGCATACTTAGGACGATCTCGTTCCTTGCCGGTATTTCCCAATTGATAGGGACAATTGAAATTGTGTTGTTGAACCGGAGATCGATATACAATCTTTCCATCTCTGATCACCACAAATCCACTGTCTCCAATGTTCACCGCATGTAAGCACTGTAACATTAACATACCAAAAACCATCATCATATATACACAGTACATAAATGGGCGCACGGCATTTTCAAGAATGTTAACTCTAGAAACAAACCGAACCCAATTTCAATAATTCACGAGGAGTCAATAAATTAGTAGAGAATAGATATACGTACGTCGCCGACGAGTGTGATTATGCAGGCGGTGGACGATCCTGCATCGTGGGTGTTATAGAAAGCTTCCGTCAAAATCCTTTTGGGCTCGATGACTCCATTGGTGTGCTTCTGGACGGCGAGATGAGAGTTGATCATGAGTTCGCGAGCATACTTTCCGGCGTCCACACCCTTTCTTCCCCAACCGCCCACTCCGTCCGCAACACCGATGGTGCATTTTTCGTCGCAAATGAAGTAAGAATCCTCTCCGAATGGACTATGTTTCTTGCTATCGTCCGGTAGGTAGTACGCACCGGTGACCATATTCAAGATTCTTGACATGGCGGCGGAGACACGAGATAGAGAGGAACAGAGGAGCGGGGATGACTGGAGCCGCGAAGGCTTAGCTCGCTACGAACTAGTATTGATTGACTGAGAGAAGAAAGGGATGCGTTTAGGACAGCGAGATAAAGAACTTGGTTCGACCGCTGCGAGCAAGCTCTGTATTACCAATTTATAGGGCAAGAGGCTTGCGCCCAAAGAAATTTATATTCAAGCATTGCCTATACATCGCTCAAAAATCTGTATGCATTAATTTCTTGGGAGCAATATGTAGCGCACAGCGCCCAAAGAAATATAAAGAGTAAGAGAGGGAGAGTATCTAGTTTAATGTCATCGGTACCAAAAATAAATAAATAAATAAAAAAATGTGTGACAGAAGTACAAGGGTGGCAATTTGTGTTCGCGAATTGTAATCGCGACGTGTCGATTTAAGTGTATTTTACTAAATTGCTTAATTGGAACACAACCCATTTAATAATCGTGTCATGAATTCTTAACACTAATCCAACCTGTTTATTAAACGGGTCATGTGTAACCCATTTAATGAACTGTTTATTAAAATCTAATATTTTATTATTTAAATTATTAATAATATTCTATCAAACATTAAATACTAGAAAAATATAAGTTTCAATCTAACCAAATTACTAGATAATCTCTAATTTACAAAATAATAAATTATAAGATACACGTTTAGATATTATTTTGGAACTTAAATAGAAATTTGTTTATGACACGTATAGTTAAACGGATATAAACGGGATACACGGGTTGAAAATCTCAACCCAAACACGACACAATTAACTAAACGGATTAATCATGTTGACCCGTTTACGACCTAAACTCGTTTAAGGTCAATCCAAACCCTTTTAACTCGTGTTGTGTTGGCGAGTTGTGTTAAACTTTGCCACCCCTACAGAAGTAGTAGATAGATACCTTTTGTTTTGGTTATTAGAATTTTTATGAAAGGTGTAATTCAATATATATTATATTAGGTTTGTATAAAATAATAAACATAAAAAAGTATATATACATACATACATACATACATACATACATACACACACATATATATATATATATATATATATATATATATATATTAAAAATTTATAATGAGACTTACATGTAAAAATAATAGGTTATTAATTTGGAAGGGAAAAAAAAAAAATTTGAAAAGAAGAATTAGGGAGCCTTTACCTATTTAATATAAGTTACGGTAAATAGCTTCTGATCAAAGCTCAAATCATTGTTTCTATGATTTACAAATATTGAGAGAATGGATCAATTGATCAAACAACAAAGTAAGATCAATGAATGTATAGTAATGGGGTTATGTGATATAGCGAGATTTAATTCAAATTCAAGACGTGGCCAAAAGTTTTTATTTTTTATTTTTTATTTTTTTTTAAGACAAGAATGTTAGATTAAAAATTAGGGGTGCCTAGGTTCTATTTCGAGCTCCCA